GGCGCAGCCCCCTGTCCTGAGCGGACGGGCGTCCGGCCCGCTGCTCCGTTGTCCTAGGACGACTGAAGTTTGCGGGGACGTGGCTCGCTGAGTCCGCCGTCTGGGACTGCCGAGCCAAGACCCAAACCCAGACCCCTGCTTTCCGAGTCCCGCGTGCGCGTCCCCCGCCGGGCCGCCTCCGTGAACGCTTCTCCCTCCGTGCGGCGTTTGAAGTTCGGAAGCGCTTTCGTGTGCGTACCGTCCCGTTGGCTCCCTTCGCGGTCTTGTCGGCCAGCTGTTCATGCTTCCCCAGCTTACAGGTGCGAGCCGAGGCTGGAGAGAGCGACTTGCCCGAGGCCACGGGGAGCTCTCGGAGCCGGCCGGGTTGGCCTCAGGCATGGGCAGAAGGACAGGTGGGACGGGCTGGAGGGTGGCCGAGCCTTCGTGCTTCTCGGAGAAGACTGCGGGATCTGGGGGGGGAGCCGTGGGGGTGGTGTGCAGCTGTGTGCCCCCCACTTTCTCTGACCCTTCGGTACTGGTAGTCTCTTCCAGCCTTGCTGAGCTCCAATTTACCTGTACGGAGAGTGGGAACTTGGCCAGGCGTTTTCCAGCACACGTTCAGTTCTGATGTCTCTGTAGACAGCCAGGCTGTAAAGATGTTAGATATCGTGTTCTCTAGAAAATAGATTCTTTCTTTTGTTATCTCAATTGTATCCCCCACCCCCTACACATATTCACTGCAGCTGCCGCGACCACCGCGTAATTCGCCAGCCAGCCAGCCAGCCCTTCACCTGGCTTCTGGTTCATAATAGGCTCAGTAAGCGTTCATTTCCTAAACCATTATCTGGGAGTAGCTGTCTCCTAGGTGTTCCCTCTAGTGACCGGTGTGGGATTAGTGCTGGGTCCTCCGGCCACATCTGAACTCATCCAGGTTTCATAGGTTTGCACAACAGTCGCTGAAGGAGCCAGCTTCCCAACATTGCTCTCTCTGCAGTCGCTCCCCTCCGTTCCTGACTGGAGGTGGTCCGAACCGTCTGTTGGGTCTGTACTTTTTGGCGTTGATGTGCTCAGAGTTTTGTGTTAGGCAGTGAGTGGGGATGCAGGGAAGGAAGGAATGTGTGGATCCATGGGAAGAGCAAGGACTGTGCAGCCAGGCAAACCTGGTCCCCTGGCAGGTCCCCTTGTTGGGTTCTCTGCCCCCCTGGCTAGATGACTTCTGAGCTGGGCACTTTTCTCATTTGTAGTAGTGGTTCCTGGTAGGTCGTTGAGAGGATTAAATATGAGAATATAAGAGTGTATGGTTTAAAGTTTGTACCAGGTAGTTCAGCAAATGATGGCAGTCATCATGGATCTTTCCTTAAAGGAGTAGAAGCCTGAACACCTTTCCCTAGGGTATGTAATAGGTAAGCGTCAGACTGCCAAGGTTCAGTTCCCTTCTTCTCCCACCTTCGTATGATCTTACGCAAGTTACTTAACCCGTCCATGCCTCTCTTTCCTTATCTGTAAAACATGGATAATATTTACTAGGTTATTGTCAGGACTGAGTGAATTAACACATCTAAAGTAGTTCAAAGAGTGTCTGACGGGTACTAAGTGGTCAATAAATGTTAGCTATCATTATTATTTTTTTTTTTTTGTGAGGAAGATCAGCTCTGAGCTAACATCCATGCCAGTCCTCCTCTTCTTGATGAGGAAGACTGGCTGGCTCTGGGCTAACACCCGTGCCCATCTTCCTTTACTTTCTGTGGGACGCCGCCACAGCATGGCCTGACAAGCAGTGCGTTGGTGCGCGTCCAGGATTCGAACCTGGATTCGTGCCGCCAGCAGTGGAGCGCATGCACTTAACCACTGCACCATGAGGCTGGCCCGCTATCATCATTATTGAAGGCTTTTAAGTAGAGACGTAACATGCAATTGTCAGTGGGAGAATACTGCTTCGCTGTTATGTGAAGATTGGATTGAGGGAAATGCAGGCAAAGAGGCTAGCATAGAAGAAACAGGACTGCACGCTGTGTTTGGGTTAAACCTGCTGGAAACTTCATTTTTATTTTACTTGCACAGCCAACAAAGAGAAAAACTAGAGCTGGGGGCTCCCTGTCAAGAACTCTGAAAGGTCTAAACAAATGTCATTTCCTACAGTAAATCTGTTCTATTCTCCATCTTCCTAGAAGAAATCTCCTTCCTGGGAACTTTAGTTTAATGTTGCCTGGATGTCCCAGGAAGAACTTTGTGCTTGGTAATTTAAGAAGAACCTGTGACTGTCTCAGAAAACTTCCTTCCTCTTCTCAGTGGAGATAGCAGAAGACTGAGCCTGTGGCAGTGTGAATAACCTCTCTCCCCACAGGTCATGGAATGTGCTTGTTCTTTAGAGCAGCCATTCTGTTTTGTGTTCATCACACCTTGTAAGTCAAGAAAGGGGTCATTATTATTATTACCTGGGCCCCCAATTAATCATCAAAAATTTCCTTGATTAACGTGAAATTAGAGAAAGGGAGGGGCTGGTTTTGAGTGATACTTCATCCAGGCGGTGGTGAGGTGCTGTGCTTCCCCACGCACAGCACATCTCTAGTGACCTCATTTGCTCAAGACCCGTGGATTTGACTCCCCAGGACAGCAGTGGGCACCACCTGCAGTGCGAGCCTACCTCTCTGGTTGATTTTGTCCTTTAGATGTGAGAATATCACTGATTAAGTTAGCGAAGGCTTCCCCTCTCTTTGGTTTGCTTAGTTTAACTCTCAGAGGATAGCTGTGTGTCCACTGCCTGTGCGTACTTAGCTGAAGGTGGCAGGCAGCCTTAGTGGGACAGTTGAGCGGGAGCGTGTTGGAGTTGAGCAGCTCTGGGCCAGATGCCCTGTCTGGGCAGTCCTTGGAGCCCTGGGGGGAGGGGCTAGTGAACTTCTCAGTTCACGCCAGGGCTCTGGTCCTGATACTGCTTGTTTCATTGTTGAAATAAGGTAAAGGAAACGTAGACCTAAAACAAGGAGGGGGGAAGCGAGTTATTACATAACTTGGAGGGCGAGAATTACGATTTAAAATGAAACATCTGCACAAAACTCTCTTGGAGGGTAAAGGGTTAGTGTCTTGTTTTTCTTTGTGTCTCTAAAGCACCTAATTCACAATTGACCCTCAGTAATAGTTAGAACTAAGCTGTGTTTTCTTCCATAAAGATGACCTCAACACACAAGTACTCTAACCTAGAGACCCCACCCCATGGATTAAAATCCACTTTGTAATAATCCAGGGCCTCCCTCATGGGCCTGAATCCTTTGGACTGGACGTCTGTCCAGAGCGGCTGCCGCTCTGCCCTTCACCGACAGACCCAGAGGGTGAGGCATTCTGGCCCCAAACAGACCCTCCCTGGTCCTCACGTGTGTGCCAGGCTCCAGTCGGGGGCTGGGGGAGAGCTCTAGCTCCAGTGGGGCATTTGCCCTCTCATTTTTTTTTCCCCTCCTCAAAGCCCTAGTACATAGTTGCTGATTCTAGTTGTAAGTCCTTCTGGTTCTTCTCTGTGAGCCGCCGCCACAACATGGCTACTGACAGACAAGTGGTGTGGTTCTGTGCCCGGGAACCAAACCGGGCTGCCGAAGTGGAGCGTGCCGAACTTGAACCACTAGGCCATCAGGGCTGGCTCTGCATTTGCCATCTCGCCCACAGCACTCTTCCCGGGACCCACGGGGGCCCTGGTGAGGCTCTGGAAGCAGTGCCGAGTTGCAGTGTTCCGGGTGTGACAGGGAAGAGCAGTTAGCAGACTTGCTCAAAACCTCCCCACTTCCCCTCTCCCAAACATTTACTGAGGCCAAAAGTGCAGAATGTGTTTTGGGAACATCAGATAGTCTAGTGGGAGGTGAGGCTGCAGGGAGAAGTGGGGCCAGATTGGAGGCTCCGGTGGGGGGTTGGGCTTTGTTAGGGAGCCTTCAGCAGTTCTTGGAGCAGGAGGGTAACATAATTGACTCTATGTTTTAGAGACCTACCCCTAGCAGGAGTGTTTATTTGAAAAATTCCTGATGACTAATGCCTGCCTTATAACCAGTACTGCTGCCTGCTGGGATGAATAGCTGTCTTTTCATGCAGGAAGAGAAGCAGTGATTATAAAAAGCCTGAACACTGAAGCCCCCTAAAGCTGTTTATGAAAGGAGTTGAAAGAACTGGCGTAATTGGGGACCTATATGCGTTGAATTGAGGGAAAATAGCTTCCTCACGCTCCTTCGTCCACAGCTACATCACCTCCCTCCCCCAAGTGTATCTTCTGCAGGGTTCAAACGGATAAACACCAACACAAGGCATCTTGGTGGTCTCTCTTGCCAGACAAGCAGTATGGTGTGTGGGTCCCAAGTGGGCACCCTGTCAGCCATCCTCATTGTGTGCTCACCCTCGGTCACTAGGGAGTGTGCCGTGTCCCTGGATGTGACGGAGCCCTAACGGTTTCCTTAGCCTGGAGACCGTGCTCACCCTTCCGTACCTCTCAAGTTCTGATCTTTGTTTTTGACCCATGCTTCATTTATTGGTGGTTTAACTCGATACGGTGAGGTTCAAATCCAGCCTTCACCATGAGAGCTCGGGGATTTGAGATAACTGCTCTCCTTGAATCTCACGTTGCTTACCTATAAAATGTGGATAATGACCTAATTCGCAGAGTTGTGAGGGTTAAAGGAGGTTGTCAAAGTTTATGAACCTGTAGTAAGTACTCAGAAATGTTGGTTGAGATCACGTCTTC